CTTTAGATTGTAGAACATTTGATTATGTATGCTACGAAATTTTAATAGCACTAGTGGTTCTTCATCTTACTTGGACGCCCATCAAAAAAGCAAGTTGACACTTCTGCAGTGGAGAAGGAAAGGATGTGGAAGAGCAGACATAAACACCTTATCCACACACAAACACTTTAGTATTCAAGTTAATCCATCCTACCAGCAGCTCTTGGTATCTCAGGGGGTGTTAATCCATCTCCTGCGAGAACAGCCAGCCCTACTGTACCAGGCTCTGATTATACAGCTCAGCTCAGCTCACACACACACAACACATTCAACATTCAGACTGAGGAGAAACACAACTATTCCCAATACACCCACGCACATATTCAACACTATGCTTCTTATATGGCAAAAAGAATCACAGTATTGGAAAGGGAAAACATCATATTTTTAACCTAGCATGCACAGACATATACACATACAAATATTACTGCATTAAAGCAACAATGGTATGGATGAGAGATGTTTCTGGTTCTGTTCATCGATTGTTGATTGGATGGAAGCAGATCTGAATAAACATTTGTAGTCAAGTGGAGTAGTCTGATATACTTCAACAGGTTACCAGAGAGAAGTCTGTTATTTCATCATAGTAAAGACATTTTGACTAAAAATTATAAATGGATGAATTGTTCACAATAAGATTAATAATATACAAAAAAGTTAAGGTGAATTTCAATTTTATGCTGACCTCAAGCAAGAGATAGGTTGAAAACTACTGGCTCGACAGTGCTTGTGCCAACAGATGTAGACTAAATAAAAACAAACAACTAATATGGCTCCTCCTCTGATAGCTGAGTACAAACACTGAAGAACGTCACAGATTCCCACTGGAGTACCACTTCAGATAACGCTGGAAGTAAATTTATCCTCTCATATTTAAAGTGACATTCTATAGCAGGCGGCCAATTGGCGGCCCGCGGGCCCATTCCGGCAAGCCAAATCATCTTCATCTGGCCCGAGGGAAGAGTACGTGCACATGCGCCTTGAATTGATTTTGCACTAATTAGATTGTCCACAGGGTGGCAACACTGGTACGGGTCGTTGTTTTACACAGCCAAAAAAGAAAAGGAAAAGACACAACAACAACAATCTACCGGAGACCGCAACATCAATAGACGGCAGTGTTGACAAGCGCTTGTGTGAAGGGGTTATGAGATATCCACAACTCTAGTTTAAACTAGGGATGCACGATATTGGATTTTTGCCGGTATCTGATATGCCGATATTTTTCAACTTATTTTGGCCGATAGCCAATGCCGATACTGATATATTTCCTTTTGTCTGGAAACAACACCAAATCTCTCCTGTGATTATAAACAAATTATTTTACATTTTGGTTAGTTTTTATCAAAAACTTACCTTTTAGAATTAAATAAACAATAAAGTTGTTTTATAATAAGGGTACATTGAAAGCTTTGAAAATAGCTATAAACCAATCCATTTTTTTTTCAGACAGATACAGTGGTAACCTTAAAAGTTGAAGATTTAACATTTATAAATGGTCTAAAGCAAGAGTTGTACAAATTCTGAAAATATTTTAGAGCTCCTTGTATTTAAGTTTTCATGATCCATTTGAAAATATATATACATTATACATTAATAAATAAATCTGTATATAAAATTATTTAATTTACAAGTGTCATGTTTGTAATTTTTATTCATGTAAGCTATAGCTTCTGACTTTAAATCAAAACATAATCGTGATATGACATCAATTATTTCTATCTATGGTATCGAGCTTATATATATGTATATATGTATGCATATATATATATATATATATATATATATATATGTGTGTGTGTGTGTGTGTGTGTGTGTCTCACGTGTGAGCCACATCTCTGAGTGTCACAGTCGCGGACCGACTGTGCAGACCTATCGGTGTATTAGGCTATAGTAATACCACGAGCAGACTGCTCCGTACGTTTTCGCATCGCTCTCGCGGATGTCAAACACTGATCGATCTGCGCCTTACTGACGTTGATGAGATTAACCCCTTAGGTATCGAAATTTGGTACCGAACGACGAGACGTTTTTCGATACTCTATGGTATCGAGGCAATTCGGTCGGTGCCTAAAAAGTATCGAACTCGATACCCAGCCCTACCGAGCTGTTCTGTAAATTATCGCAACCAGGTATTATGCATTTACATGACGAAGGCAAAGCTAGCTAGCAAACTGTAGGCTGTAGTAACTAACAATAATGACAGTAACTCGCAATTGAGCGGGCGAAGCACTTATGATCATGCGCTCTAGTTATATTAGGTGTGTTCGACTTGAAGCAGCGCTGCGCGTAACGATCAGCGTATGACATCAAAGTACTGCGAGAGCAATTCAAATGCATGGAGCCATCTGCTCTCTATGGCACTCACTGTACTTTGATGTCACACACCGATCGGTCTGCGCAGCGCTGCTTCAAGTCGAACACACCTCTTATTATAGTGTTAGGGGAGGGGCCATGCTCAGTGGCTCCACTGCATCATCGAGTCACGATTTTAGCCCTGCCCAAAAAATCCTGAACACGAAAATGGTGAAAAACTGTTTAACGGTCTAACTCCACAATTAAGTACTACATTGTTCACAGTCTTTTTTAACATGTTTCAGCAATGCATTTCTAACATTTATAATGTGTTTAGAAACAATTCTCAGAATTGACTTTACCCAGACTTTAAACAAGTATAAAGGTGGTGTTATCGGTCATAACTTCTGGCTAGAAATAGCGCAGACACTAGACGAAGATGATTATCAAATGGAGCATAATTTGAAAGGCTGCACGTTTTGCTGTATTCACACGCTGAGCCGCTTCAGACAGTGTGCCAGTAGCACTTCAACGGACAAAAACACACAATTTTGTCAAAATGCGCAGTTTTTGGCGAGTGACCTTGTAAACGTCTTAAATGAGTTATAAAGTCCTAAATTACAGTAAAGATTTGGGAGATCCGGCCCTCAAATGAGTAAAACAGTAAGCAGAGTAAAAATTACATGGGTCATGACAAAACAGGACTTTGTGTCCAGGCCTAATGCATCCCCTTAAGCAGCATCTTGAATGAGAGTAAAACTTTCATTCAATGTTGGCCATTGCTGTCACAGTCTTCTGCCACAATTTTGAAGGGCTCAGCAATAGATTGTGGGCAGAATGGGCAACTAGCCTGAAGGACATAAATGGACAGGACTGAACAGACAAGATCTCAGTGCAAGGCAACTCTGGCAGCCACAATATAGTTTGTTTGTGTGCATGTTTTGTACCTTTCACTGCCTGGTTGAAATTCAGACAGAAGGGATGGTCTGCGGCGGTGAGGGTGGGCCAGGGATCCATGGGGCAAATGGGAACCATAGTTCCGAGCGTGAGGATGGTAGTCTACCAGTCCACCAACATCCTGAAATAAAAAACATGACACATACTCACATAATTAAATTATATAAAGAATGTGACTACTGAAATTAAATGCAGATGTTTCCAGATTTAATCATGCTTTTTATGACATGAAAATCAGAAAAAGATCCCAGATCAGTGCTAAATGCTGAGAGCAATTAGCCTAAATCTTTGGTACTCAAACCAAAGCTTATAGATTTTATACAGCCCTTTAGTTGCAGCTTAAAGTCTTACTTTTTGAATGAAACTGTTCACGTCATATCAGTCATGCACCTACTCTGGAAAGTAATCCATCCACGAAAATGAACTTCAGTCAAGAGTCTTAAACTCTGAAGTGTTACAAAGTTACTAGTTATATTGCTAGTTTAGGCTAAGTTCTACTAACACCAATATTAGGATTACCACATTTTTGGCATCAAATGGTACAGGAAAACATGAACATCTGCTTTGTGTCAGACAAAGGACATATTCCAACATGAACAAAGGTTTGGAGGATGAAGTGTTGTTCCACTTGGCTTAGCAAACTGTAGGCTGTAGTAACTAACAATAATGACAGTAACTCGCAATTGAGCGGGCGAAGCACTTATGATCATGCGCTCTAGTTATATTAGGTGTGTTCGACTTGAAGCAGCGCTGCGCGTAACGATCAGCGTATGACATCAAAGTACTGCGAGAGCAATTAAAATGCATGGAGCCATCTGCTCTCTATGGCACTCACTGTACTTTGATGTCACACACCGATCGGTCTGCGCAGCGCTGCTTCAAGTCGAACACACCTCTTATTATAGTGTTAGGGGAGGGGCCATGCTCAGTGGCTCCACTGCATCATCGAGTCACGATTTTAGCCCTGCCCAAAAAATCCTGAACACGAAAATGGTGAAAAACTGTTTAACGGTCTAACTCCACAATTAAGTACTACATTGTTCACAGTCTTTTTTAACATGTTTCAGCAATGCATTTCTAACATTTATAATGTGTTTAGAAACAATTCTCAGAATTGACTTTACCCAGACTTTAAACAAGTATAAAGGTGGTGTTATCGGTCATAACTTCTGGCTAGAAATAGCGCAGACACTAGACGAAGATGATTATCAAATGGAGCATAATTTGAAAGGCTGCACGTTTTGCTGTATTCACACGCTGAGCCGCTTCAGACAGTGTGCCAGTAGCACTTCAACGGACAAAAACACACAATTTTGTCAAAATGCGCAGTTTTTGGCGAGTGACCTTGTAAACGTCTTAAATGAGTTATAAAGTCCTAAATTACAGTAAAGATTTGGGAGATCCGGCCCTCAAATGAGTAAAACAGTAAGCAGAGTAAAAATTACATGGGTCATGACAAAACAGGACTTTGTGTCCAGGCCTAATGCATCCCCTTAAGCAGCATCTTGAATGAGAGTAAAACTTTCATTCAATGTTGGCCATTGCTGTCACAGTCTTCTGCCACAATTTTGAAGGGCTCAGCAATAGATTGTGGGCAGAATGGGCAACTAGCCTGAAGGACATAAATGGACAGGACTGAACAGACAAGATCTCAGTGCAAGGCAACTCTGGCAGCCACAATATAGTTTGTTTGTGTGCATGTTTTGTACCTTTCACTGCCTGGTTGAAATTCAGACAGAAGGGATGGTCTGCGGCGGTGAGGGTGGGCCAGGGATCCATGGGGCAAATGGGAACCATAGTTCCGAGCGTGAGGATGGTAGTCTACCAGTCCACCAACATCCTGAAATAAAAAACATGACACATACTCACATAATTAAATTATATAAAGAATGTGACTACTGAAATTAAATGCAGATGTTTCCAGATTTAATCATGCTTTTTATGACATGAAAATCAGAAAAAGATCCCAGATCAGTGCTAAATGCTGAGAGCAATTAGCCTAAATCTTTGGTACTCAAACCAAAGCTTATAGATTTTATACAGCCCTTTAGTTGCAGCTTAAAGTCTTACTTTTTGAATGAAACTGTTCACGTCATATCAGTCATGCACCTACTCTGGAAAGTAATCCATCCACGAAAATGAACTTCAGTCAAGAGTCTTAAACTCTGAAGTGTTACAAAGTTACTAGTTATATTGCTAGTTTAGGCTAAATTCTATTAAGATCAATATTAAGGATTACAAATATTTGGCATCAAATGGTACAGGAAAACATGAACATCTGCTTTGTGTCAGACAAAGGACATATTCCAACATGAATAAAGGTTTGGAGGATGAAGTGTTGTTCCACTTGGCTCCTGAGCTGAATAGGGTTAAGTACCACTGATTTAGATTTTCTGTGTGGTTAATAAGACCAGACAGTAATCTCTGCTGGATGAAGATGATGGCTGAGGGTAAAATCTCACATGATAATCTTAGGTAATGCAAGATAATCCTTTGTTACTAAATTCTGGCCAACTATTACAACATACAATAAATAACAGTTAGTGTAACAGTTTTTCTTAGCTCACAGGTCAAAGTCCCAGGTTACAAATTAGTGATAAATAAATTGAATTTTTTTTGAAAGATTTAAAGATAAAAAAAACTGAGGTTTTGTTTTGTAGTCAGTGCAGTACCGTATGGGCTCTCAGCTGCAGAGGAAGGGTGGCGGAACTGGGAAGGTGACGAGCGTCCACAGCCCTCCGACCCTGAGGCACTGGCTGAGGGTGCGAGGACATGCTGACGATGCAACTTCCTCTACACACTAAAAGTGGGTGTGGTCTTGTCACAAACACTGTGCATCATGGGGCGTTGAGTCCTGGCAGTCACCGACCTGGAAGGAATGAGAGAGAAAACATTATAGATTAATTGTTAATAATAATAAATATTTGTTAACACAACAATCAATCTGTGGAGTAAAACTAAATTGTGGGCAAAATCATACAGTGTGCACCAAACTTCAGAAAGCCAGGATAAGCAACTGAGAGTTTGATGAGTGAGAGAGAGAAAGAGAGAGAGAGAAGACCTAGCCACCACCTGCTGCTGGCCGGATACATGTCGGCACACTGTGTGAATGAATGGATCACTCTGTATCCCCCTCTATATACTCTTCTTCATTCTGTCTCTTTCTATCCTCATTAGGGCAGCTGGTGTGCTCTGCTGCATGATGATACACTCTTTTTCACAGATACAGCAAAAATACACAGTATGGCTACACCAAGTTAATGTTCAAAGTCCCTTTAAGGCAAGTCTGTTCACTCAGCAACTATATTGGTAACATCCCTGGGTAGCTATTTTTTATGTAGACCACAGGCATGTATGTACAGCTCATATCTATTTAAATAAGGACAGACAAATCGTATTAAACAATGCCTAGATCAGAGCTGCCCAAACTTTTTCCTACAAAGGGCCAAAAATCAAACTTGATTGAGGGTTGTGGGCTGAAAATAAACACTGCATTATACCAAACTGTATTAAATCAATACGGGGGGGGGGGGCGCCAGATTTTTTTTAATAGGTTTAATGGGGGGGCGACCAAAAAAGTTTGAGGACCACTGGTCTAAAGTTAACAGACAGTGTTTAAAAAGTGCAGTCCACATGTTTACATGTGTTTATTACAGTGACTTTGAATTACCTAAAGTAGTGTGGTAAAGCAACAGATTTGTTTTTATATTTATGCAATCTACTTTAGTTTGTGTGATTTGTTACTGACTTTCATATTAATGTTTACACAAGGCTTATTTGTCAGTGTTTTATGTTGTCATAATTATTACATGCTTACAAGGTTGGCAGTTCAACAAATCAGTCAATATACTGTGATTGTAGTAGTTGTTAAATAAAAAGGTCATTCATATCAATTCATGCATCACCTAATTTCAATGTAACATATAGGCCTGGCCTACAGAAAAGAACATTTATGTTTAATCTATCTAATAGTGTGTTGGTCATACTATACAATGATTTATAGCTCATAAAGAGCTTTAAAAAATAATTGCATATTAAATCACAATCACAATTTTTTTTTTACTTTAATTAAAGGTTAGATATTTTCTTTTTAATTTCTGAATGAAAGATCAAGTGGATAAACAATGCGGATTTATTTTCACAGCCTTCTTTGATCATATTTACCGAGGGTATTAATAATTTTGAGCACAACAGTATATGTAGGAAGACTAAGTATAGAAAGAGTTTTGTTCCTACAGCTATATGCGTTTTAAACACATAGGAAATCAACCATCGTCTTATGCTTATGCATTTGTTTTGTTGTGTTATAGACGCACCCTCTGTGGAAATGAATTTCCTCTCTGAGGACAAATAAATTATCTATCTATAATTTGGCTATTATTATCAAATTGCCCCACCATTTCACTTCAGCACCGCATTTCACACATACACGCAAATGAGGATTAGACCCTGTAGCCGGGTGAAGGAGTCTCCAATCACAAACACAGACGTACATCGTCTGCTGATATAAGGTATTGCATTGCACTTTAACAAGTAATCTGAAGTGAACGGCCTATATAGGAGCAATATTTTAACCGCGCCTTCACTGAGTTTAATGCCACAATTATGTTAGAACGCATCTCATTCTTGTTTCTGTGGCGGTGCGTCGGCCTCGTCATGGGGCGCACGGTCCTGAGCGCTCTATGACTGATGTATACGTTCAATTTAACTTTACTCCAAATATATTAACTTACCTGTTTTAAATACTTTTATATTCAACGTGTTTGTTTAACTGTTAGACTGTGTTAAATTGTTGGTCTTTAAAATAAATCTACTCACCGTTGACTGATTTTGCAGACCTGACAACTTCCGTGCGCCGATGCGGCAAACTTGTCACAGGACGTGAGGTCCTAATAACAATTTATGACTGTTGCATCGTAATATGAACTAGCTGTTTTAAATATTTTTTATATCTAACATACAGTGGGTACGGAAAGTATTCAGACCCCCTTAAATTTTTCACTCTTTGTTATATTGCAGCCATTTGCTAAAATCATTTAAGTTAATTTGTTTGAAAGTATATTATTTAGATTAGTGTTGCTTCCACGCGCGCGGTTTAAAACACCAAATAGTTATGAAATAGCCTATGACAAGTACAGAGAGTCTTCTCTCTTGACCCCACCCACCCATGCACAATAATATCATGTATCGGTAGGGTTGGGTATCGTTTGAATTTTTTCGATTCCGATTCTGCTTATCGATTCCGATTCTTATCGATTCCTAGTTTCGATTCCAATAAGATAAAAAATCGAATATAAAAAAAATTAAGTCAAACATTTAGATGTCAAACATTTATTCTGTCTTTTTACAAAGCATTCTGTTGCAGCTGAATAACACAAGCAAAAATCAGCAGCCTACAGAACACTGCAAGAGGAATTTTGCCTCTAATTTGTTTTTAGATATTTTGTGTTTAGATATTTATATTTTACGGGAGTTCCTCAAATCATTTTATTCTCCCGCATCCCGCACACACACAAGTATCTACCCACCCGCACTCGCACATTAACGCTGTTGCGTCGGGTCCCACGGGAGTGCAAGTCTCTACTTGGAAGAGCCAGGACATTTTTTTTTTTATCTCTTTTATAACTCCAATCGCATTCATCTGAAAGAAGAAAGTCATATATACACCTAAGGTAAATAGGTGAGTAAATCATGGGGTAATTTTCATTTTTGTGTGAACTAACCCTTCAACTACTGTACAACTACCTGCGATAGCCAATGAGAGTGAGCAAGCGTCACCTACCGGTTGTTGCGTGCTTCTATAGCTGAAACTTGGCAGCCACAAACATGCCATGAAAGTAGAGTACAGAGAAAGAACTTCACCCATATTATTTTTTTTCTATTTTGTTTTCACTGTACTACAGAATGAGCGCCAGAAGAGCCAGCTGACAACGTTGATTGTCCTCCATGTGTTTTTCTTCTCAAGTCACGTTTGACATTGGTGACCCTGGACCACAAAACCAGTCTTAAGTCGCTGGGGTATATTTGTAGCAATAGCCAAAAATACATTGTATGGGTCAAAATTATTGATTTTTCTTTTATGCCAAAAATCATTAGGACATTAAGTAAAGATCATGCTCCATGAAGATATTTTGTAAATGTCCTACTGTAAATACATCAAAACTTCATTTTTGATTAGTAATATGCATTGCTAAGAACTTCATTTGGACAACTTTAAAGGCAATTTTCTCAATATTTAGATTTTTTTGCACCCTCAGATTCCAGATTTTCAAATAGTTGTATCTCGGCCAAATATTGCCCTATCCTAACAAACCATACAAAGGAAAGCTTATTTATTCAGCTTGATGTATAAATGATGAATCTCAATTATAAATTATAAATCTCAATTTCAAAAAACTGACCCTTATGACGGTTTTGTGGTCCAGGGTTACATTGGGCATCCAATGGAATGATATTACAAACCCTTTCATACTATCAGGCAGTTCTAGTTAAAAATGAAAGAATAGCCCTTTACACTCTGTGGTTTCAGATAAACGGGAAGTAGCACTATCACACTAACAAACACAAATGCACATAGACATGCTTCCCTGAAAGTGCTTTTCCCCAGTGGCTGCTGTGTGTCATTAGCCCTCCTGCTCAATACAAACAAACCTCTGCCATCTCAAGGGGCCCCACAGCTTCTCTCTCTCAGAAACACAAATTTCCATGTGAGAGAAGTCTGTCTCTATAGATGAACAGTGAGTGTTGTCAAATACTTTGACATTAAAACAAGGAGTCAGGTCCTCTGCTTTAAAGCCCTGTAGCTCTTCTACTACACAGAGTGGCATGCTACCGTCCGCCTTCCTTCCTGTCTTTCACTGAATGATTTACATGGAAATAGCAGTGTTTTACTGTGCTGGGTATATGTGTGCTGGGGGAGGAGATTCAACAGTCCAGGAATGTTTGGAGCTCTGAGGAGGAACAGAAAGTCTTTGTCATCCTGAAGGTACTTTGTAGACTCACACATTCACATGAACACACATGCAGGATCAAATCAATCACACATTACTCACAGAAAACACATGTCTGATATGTGTTCCTTGTTTTTGCTATAAGACCACTTCTTTAAGGAAAACTTTTCAACTTAATGTTTTTGCTCTGCATTGGTTATAATGATAATGAAGATTACCATAGTGCGTACAAAAAACACACAACTACAATGTAAATAATTTTTGTTGTTTTCACAGTAAATCACTGTATTCTCAATAGTGCCCTACTGTACAATTTGCATACAGTATGTTACTGTGAATTTTGTGGTTTTCACAGTATTATTACTGTATTATTCTCAGCAGTTTCCTACTGTATACGCTGTATGCAGTATGTTACTGAAGATTTTCAATGCATTCTGGGAAAATAAATACAGTAGTACTCCTCCTCGCACAACGGCTCTGTGACAGACTCGTCGTGAAGATGAAAGCACACAAGAGAGTAGGCTATGGTAAGTTAACTTTAATTTTCGACCTTTTAATCACTTTATACGTTTTATTCTGATGTTATTTGCAAGATAAAGAGCATCTGAGTGAGCGCTCAATTTCCGAGTAAACTGCGTTAACTGGCCTTTTCCTCCCGGAGCGGCGCTGGCAGACCAGTGGAGAGACATGTTGTGAAGACAAAAGTCCTAAGAGTATGTTAAATTGGTAAGTATATGTTACAGTTTTTTGTACATATTTTAATGTTACATGCTCACTTTCCCAGTAAAGCTGTGCTACTAGTATTTTTCTCCTGCAGCGGCGCTGCCAGACCGGCGGGGAGACTTGTGAAGAAGAAAAGCTGTTCGAGTACATTGAATAGGTAGGTCAACTTTAAAACATATGCATTTTCCTTATTTGT